CCTTCCTTCCTTCCTTCCTTCCTATTTCAGGAGTCACAAGAATCCACAGTTTAGGCAAGCCAGAATTCATAACCTAACAACAAAACATGGTTTCAAATCATACTTTGTGGGTGGTTAAAAAACATGTCTCTAGCTAAGGTAGGATCACCTACTTTGAACACCATAACAAATCATATTCCAACAAACTACTGCATTGTCTTCATGTGTGAAAGTGGTCTTATTTGAATCAGTGACAGGTGGTCATTGATAGCGTCTGTGCAGAAGAGTATTTCTATTATCTTTGTGCAAGATTCTGGGATGTTTATTTGTATTTATGTATTGTTGTTACATTCTAGATTTTACTCTAATGAGCTCAAAATGATATACAGTTCATGGCTGTAACTACCCTCCTCCTCACTTTATCTATACAGTAATCTTGTGATGTAAATCAGGCTGGAAAAGTATCTGATGGATCCAAAGTCACCCAGTGAGTAACAAGGCTGGGTAGGGATTTGACCCCAGACTTCCTGAATTCTTGTCCAACACTCTAACCACTGCACCCCATTAGCTCTCAAAGAGAGAGGGAGGGAGGGGGAAAGATTGAAAGAGAAAGAGAGACTATGCTGTAAGTCTTGTTTCCTCACTGGGGCAGAAAGAGAGTGGATTCATTCCAGCTGAGCAAAACTCTGCATTCTATGTTGTATTATCAGTTGACACATTGTGACCTCTGAGAAAGTGCAGCCGAAATAGACACGCAAAGCTAGGATTGATGCGATGGTGCACTACAGCAGGTCGAGAGAGCAGAGTGCCTGTCTGCCTGAAGGTGCTTCTGGCAAGTCAGCCTTAATCTAAAGTGAAAGCAACCTCTTGAAGCTTGATGTGACAAATGTGGGCTGTCAGAGAAAGACAAGAGAGTTGTTGTGTCGGAGCATTACTTGACATTTACTCATCTGTAGTGGGCAGCTCCACTTATTTCAGGACACATGCTTCCTTATGACAAGCCCAGCAAAACTTGAAGTGTTGCTTAGATAAATAACAGAGAATGATAACAAGGCTTGGTGGAGTTCAATTGACTTTCATCCTAGCATTGGATTTTGGGTAACGTGTCTTAGTGAAGGACTTAATTGGGCCTTGATCAGACAGGCATTTGTCCCACTGTTTAATGAACTGTGGGGGTGGATTGGTTTGCTCTTTTTTCCAGCGATCACACAATGTAATCACTAGAAACAACCAATTTGCCCTCAGAGTACCCCTACGACACCTTTCTGAGTCCCTGGCAGGGACTTCTGCTTTTTTGGTGCAGGTTAATATGGTCTAGTTTGGTTGGCTTCAGACCATTTCAAATATGCCTCTGTTAGATCATTGCTAATGTGCTGAATCACTTGGCTTAAATGGGTGGGTGGGGGGTGTTTGCATTTGTGTGCAACCATTGAATGCATGGTTGTAGGCACTTTCTATATACAGAGCAAAGGAAAAACATCATTCAATGAGCAACGGTCTACCAGATGCAAAATGTACATGTATAATAATTTCACTTCCCCTGCCCCTCCATAGAGCACCGCTCAACTGTTTAAAAACCTAATTTCACTTCCCCTGCCCCTCCACAGAGCACCGCTCAACTATTTAAAAACCAAGGCTGTGGCTTTCTTTGTTGAGCCAATCCCTATCTCATTTTAGGCTGTGGCTTCCTTTGTTGAGCCAATCCCTCTCTCATTTGGTCTTCCTTATTTTCCTGCTCCCTTGCACTTTTCCTAGCACTATCATCTTTTCCAATGAGCCTTGTCTACTCAAGGACAATAGGCTCAGTTTAGGCTCTATTGCCAAAGGCAATTGCCATAGGCTCAATTTAGTATTTTTCAAGTGGGAGATCAGACTTGTGCCTGAAAACAGCTTTGGGGGCTGCAAGTATCTCTGGGGCCAGCCCTTACCCACTCCTGAGCTATGTGGGCTCTCTAGCACTAGGATATGCAGGTTACTTGTCTTTCCCAGCCAGTAAGCATAGATGGACAGTAAGCAGATGGATTCAACTTCCCTTGATTTCCAACTCAATTGTGTGTCCTTCCCATGCCAAAACCAGCATTCCTTCTTGAATAGACACCCAGAAAACAGATGTGTATGGGAGTGAGATGTCAGGAGGAGCTCTTGTTGTTTCACAGGTTACCCCATCCCATTAAAGAGGGAGCACATGTACATATTGATTAGGTTGTTTGTTGTTTCACAGGTTACCCCATCCCATTGATGTCTCATTAAAAAGGGAGCACATGTATATATTGATTAGGTTGCCTCAGAACCTACAGAGATAAGGAAATGAAGATCTAATGCTCTTCCCAGTCATGGACTCCCTTTCCATAGTCACTCCACCACACTGCTGTCTGATCTTGGGGTAGGTGAGCTCAAGGAGAGTCAGTTCTGGGGATGATGATGTAACCACTGCCTGAAGTCCTGCCAGCACACCAGTTTTCCAGGGATGCACTCATGGATTTTTGGTTCTGGCAATGCTCAGGGAATCCAGAACTAAAATTCCACAAGGCTGGGCTCTCATAAGCCAGTGTGTCAACCTCGTGATGATAGCCATCACCATACCCATACAAACATCCAGTAAGATGCAGAACCTGGAGTTCAGTACCAATGACCCTCTCAGTCAAAATGCAGACTACTACGCGTATGAATTTTTTAAAAAAATTATTAAAAGAAAGGAAAGTGTTTGGGATGATGGTTCAAAAGGACAAAAGTTCCAAATGGTTCCAAGAGGTTTCTCAAAATATAGGAGCAAATTGTGGTTACAGGTTTATAGCATTCAAGGACAACACACCAGAAAATTTAAAAGCCAATCTCCCTATCTCATACGCCTAGACTAGACTGACCTCTCCCTCTCCAGAAAGACAGAGCCAACAAGCAAGTTTTCTTAAGTCCCTTTTATGCAAGTCAATGGGCCATACTCACAACCCCTGTCCACAATCTCTCAATTACATTTATTTTCCTGTGATAATTCTACAAACAAAAGGCATCCTTCTGCCTTATTCTCATTCCCAGCTCTGAAATCTGCATAACCCTCAGGGAAGGAAGCAGGCTGATTGGATTCCTTCTTGATACGTTCCTTCTTTAATACATAACAGATAACCTTACAGTTCTTTATCAGCATCCTGCCCTTGAAGAGCATCAGCAATAAGTGGTGAGGTGTCCTTTCTTTGAAATATTTAGGAACAGGAGATAAAGTGAGGGCATGAATTGGTCTGTTTAGGAGCTGACCTCTTCCTTTTTATGTCAGCTTCCCATACACTCACGGAAACATAGGAGAGTCCAGAAACTGAATTTCATATTTCATGTTCCCATTCACACAGATAGATAGCTATCAAAAGATTAAAGTTCTTAATGCATTAAAGAATCTGAATATCATAGCAGGAGCTTATTTCACCTTCCAGAATTTGCAGATTAGCTTTCCTTGTTTGATAATTGGTCTTCAAGAGTTAAGTACAGGATTCTTGAAGTACAATTTGGCGAACACAGAAGACTGCCTCAGTCACTTCTCTCCAATGCTGATGGGCTTTCTGCTTTAATTGAGGGTTGTCCATAACATTTCTTTCTACCCTAAAATATCAAAATTTTGCTCAGGGATGGACTATGTCATTACACCGCAAGTGTGCCAAACCCCCTCTGCCATAAGTTCCCTTTGAGGTTCAGTGGAAATCTCTACCACCTGCTGGAAAACTTCCTCTGAACTTTAGTTTTAATTGGCATCTTTGTAACAAGCATTTAGTGGAAACAGGAAGCAAAAATAAAAATAAATTCCAACTGTTTTAAAGAAAAATGAGCCTGAGTGAATGTATTTTTTAATATTAATTTCTCTCCCCTCCCAACCCATTTTACCATACAGAAGGGGACTCAGCTGGAAAGGTCTTTCACAGCATATAAGTCCCAGCAAATATCCCACTACCATTACTGAGGGATACAGAACAGATCATAATAATATACATCTTATCTTTGGGGTTCTAAAGTTAATGAGTGGGATCCTGTTAGCATCAAACACTTTTCACAATGGACA